GTGGGGATGGTGATTGTTGCCTGCTTTATGTTATGTAACAGGCTGCAGTGTCTCCTTAACAAGCACTCTCAGATCTGTTGGGGACTGTGGAGTGACTCACTGCTGCAGACTGTTGCAGTAACTTGGATGAAGGGGAAGAAATGAAAGTCCCAAGTAGCTCCCCTCCCTGCACTCTCAGGCTCCTGTGCCAACAACAGTCCAGCTCCCCCACGTCAAGGACAACTCAGGTGTTAGGCATCAGCCAGGCTCCCCGTGACTTGCCACCCCTCCTCTCCCCTCTCCTCCCAGCAGCCACAACTATCACACCCATATCCTCTCTTGCCCCCTTCTGAAGAGCCAGCTCTCCATCACAGGTACCCTGACCTCCCTCCCACAAACAGCCCTGACCTGTCCTACTGGTCAGTCCCTTCTTGCCAACTGTTCCTCAGTGTGATCTGCAGGATATCCGTATCTGGTGAGCACCTCTTTTTTTATTTTTTTTGTTATTTGTGGGATGTCGCAGAGCCTACAGATCAGGAAACCTACTCTAAAGGACACATTCCTGGGGATCAATTTATTTACCAATGAGCCCAAATAGAGAGTCTGACAAAGATGCATGCATGGTGCAGGTGGTTTGCAGGCCTGCTCCTGAGTGGTTGCAAGCCAGGCTGAGATCCTCTCACCTCCAGCCCTCTTGGGGAATTTTAAGCCTCCCTGGGAGCAGGCCACTCTGACTAGCTGCTTCAACCCCAGGTAGCCAGTCAGGGCTGCTCAGGAAGTAGGCAGACAACCCCAACACCCAGTGCCGTATCTAGACTCCTGGTAGCCCCAGGCGAACTTTTAATATTGGGCCCTCCTTTGCCAAAGATCATGATTTTTGTTGTTGTTGCAAAAGTCTGTATCACATCCGTAGTATTGATGTCTTTAAATAGTTCATTCTCAATCGCTAACACTGTCATTTGCCAGTCCCATATGTGCACAATGTGAAAACATTTTTTTGCAATTGTAATTTTTTTTTTTTCCATTTTCAGCCCCCTTTTCTGTCCAGCTGCCCGGTTCGCCCATGCTTCTGTCTGGGTCTGCCAACACCCATCAGACAGGAGATAGCAGGACACCACCCGCCTCAGTGCTCCAGAAGTGGCTTGGTGGAGCAGCACATGCAACTACTGTCAATGCAGCAGCATCTGGGGCAGCTCAGCAGAGACCTCTGCCAGGACCAGCACTGGCACCTCAGAGGGGCTGCTTCACGGAGGTTTTGCTCCCAATTCCTGCAAGCAGGGAAGGTTGTTCTGCCTCTGAAAGCCGGTGCCAAATTATGTTCCAACAGCTGTATGTTCTCCAGCATGAGTCATCCCCACCCTGAGCGCTAAGCCTATCCACAACAACATTCCTTCTTTGTGATCTAAGGTCCTGGCTAGGTTAAATTGCCATCTAACATCACTCTTCCCCTCCCGCCTCCTTGCAACCTATTGGGATGTCTGAGTTCTAAGACAAGAGAGACTAAGAGATCAAAGTCCATCGTTGGACCTCCCCCACTCCTGAGGAAATCATGAGATTCATGCCAAAAATCATGGGATTTCTTTTTTCAGAAATAGGTTGTTTTTCCAGTGTTTGAACTCCTCTGTGCATGACAATTAATGCTGCCCACCCTTCCAGACTTACTGACTACGGTGATTTTGGTCTTTTGCTGAGGCAGCAGCTCCTGCCCTCACATCTGCCCGTCTCCTACCTAGCAATAAATTCTTCCCCCTCCCCCTCAAAAAACCCTCCAAATGAATCCTGCACATCCTACATCAGTTCTGCTGCCTGCATTGATTCTCCTGCGCCCGGCAGCCCTATCTCTGCCCCTTCTGGATTTCTACCTCATCCTAGCCTTCAGGATAAGGCAGTGGTTCCCAAACTGTGGGTCGCGACCCCAAATGGGGTCACAACGTCAGCAGATGGAGTTGCGATAAACGTGGCCCCTGTGATTTCTGTGCCCACAGTAGGGTGCAGGGCTGCAGCTGGGCTACGCCGGCTCCGGGCAGAAGCTGCCTCTGCAGCTGAGCGCGTGGGACCGATCGTGGGAGGGAGGGCTGCGCCACCACAGCTGCCAAGGTGAGGGGTGGCAGCGGCACGGGGTTGTGCCCACACTGCTGCCGAGTGAGCAGGGGGCATCTCAGCATCATCCTGCCCACTGGGCCATGGAGCCCACGGGCAGCAGGGCAAGGAGCCCCAAGCTGCATCCTCCTCACCACCATGGAGAGGGGACAGGGAACCAGGCTCCGCTCCAGCCGCGGCATCCGCCACGTCCCACGGGTGGCAGCTGGGGCTCGGGTGCTGCTGGGGGACAGAGAACTGTGGGTGGGGGAGTGAGGGGCCTTGCTGAGGAAGTGGGATCA